GGCGCAGCCTGCTTCAGGCGGGGACACACTCCTGTCCCCTTCTCGTACCCACAGGGAAAACCAGTCCCAGTGCCCAAGCGTGGTGAGCCCCTCACCTGACTTGAGGGGAAAGAGGACGTGCTTGATGAAGGAGAGGACACCGTTGTTCTCCACATTCCCTGGCTCGCAGAAAGCCTTCTTCAACTTCTTCTTCACATCCTCCTTGCGGTCCAGAAGGTCAATCTTTGAGTCCTGCAGGAAGGGATTTCCGCAGCCCTTTACCCAACCTCTTGCCCAAAAGACACAACTCATGCTGGAGTTGCTGCAACTTCTTCTTAGACCCCAGCGTGAGCAGAGAGAGAAGTAACTTTCTCTTGGGGTGCAGCCCCCAGACCCCCAGCCATTAACCCGTCCCCCCGCAGAACCCACAGCCACTGTTCAGGGACCAACCTCTTCTGACGAGCTCATTTTGCTGCCTGTCAGACCGGGAACCATCGGGTTCATCAAATGGACGCGCTTGGCATAGCCCAGGGAAGGAAGGTACTGGGAAAAAGCAAGGAGGGAAGTCATGGACAATCCTCTTCTGAAGATCAGCTTTCACTCACAATCCCTGTTTGCTCCTGGCTCCAGATAACTTGGGGACCCAGAAAGCTCTCGGGAGTTCAGAAGGCACTGACAGCCACAGCCAGGGATGCGTGGCAGCACAGCAGAGCCCTAAAGACCACGAGAGCAACAGCAGGAGCTGCCAAGGGCACTGTGGTGCCAACCGAAATCACAGGAATGCTTCTCCCAATGGATTAGCGAGTGTTCCGAGCCCTGAGCCAGGCATCAGCATCGCAGGGAGCTCAGAAACACCCCCATTCCTCACCTTCTCCGCAAAGGTGAATATCTTTCTTTGATCAACTCCTCCAAACTGTGCATCGACCTTGAGGTACTCCTCATCCAGGGCCTGCAGAGAGACACACACAGCCTTGAGACTGCACCCAAGACTCTACGCTCCAGCTGTGCTCAGCTTTTGGAGGTCCTGCCCGTCCCCTGATATCTGCCCAGCCTCTGCCAGGGCACTGGGAAGGACGGGAGCTCTCCAGACAGCCTGCTGTCCTGCAGCTGGCCAGAGTCACTACAAAAGCCGCTCTGTGCTTGGGTTATGCTTTGTGCTGCTGCCAGGTGTAACATTGGGGTGGGGTATAACGACCTTGGCATTCAGCCTCACGTGTCCCTGCGGTCCTGGCTTCGCCCAGCACCTCCCCAGCCAAGAGGCTCTGCCCGCCTTCCTCGCCACGCACCTGCAGGCCTGGGTAGAGCAAACCGCTCAGCAAGGGGTGCTCCACCTGCTTCACCACCTCCGCTCCCGCCTTCTTCGCGTCGTGCTGCGTCACCACGGACGAGAGGCGGTACACATCCAGCGTATACTCCCTGGGGGAAGGGACAGCACTGTTAGCACTGGGGAGGGGGACACCTTTTAGAGCTGCTTCACATAAACGCTGGTTCTGGCCACATCAAGAGGAGCCAAGGCCTGGAGGCACCTTCACTTTGTTCCCCAAATGACAGTGCCTGGGAGCAGGCTCAGGAACAGCAGAGCCCCAGGTCAGGCTCTTCCTTCCAAAGAGGACCAGGCACCCCAGGACTCACTTGCTGAGCTGGTAGTCAGTGCCCCGGACGAACTTCAGCTTTTCCAGGGGTACCCCAATGCTCTCCAGCATGGCTTTGATAACATTCTCATAATAGCGGGTGCGCAATTCCAGCAGCTCCCAGGGGGCCTTCATGTTGTCTAGGTAAGCATGGAGGTCAGCAAAGAGTATCGTCACCTAGCGTGGAGGGGAACAGAGTCAGTGCCGCACGGCTGAGGGGAACTGCATGTTCCCACCCACCGGCATGGTGACAAAGTACTGCTGGGTCCGAGCTCCCAGCCCGGCCACCAACCTCACAGCCAGCCTTCAGGAAGTCTGCGATCTTGGACATGGGCACAAAGTAGGCCACGTGTGGCTTGCCCGTGGTGGCGGTCCCCCAGTAGATCTTCAGCTCTCGCTCCTTCAGGATGGCCATGAGCTTATCCTCCCCCAGCACCT